GGGTCTCATTTAGCTGCCAATGAATCTAGGAAAATGGTTTGTATAAGGTATCAATTTTACATGGGATTGTATTCCATGAGACCTTTTAAAAAAGGTCTCAATTACTATTCGCTATTAAATGTTAAATTGGATGGCATCACAAAGTTTGAGAATCCATTTCTTGTTTTTTCATAACTTTGAATCTAGTTAATTACGCACTTACAACCATTCAATTTGAAATATGATAGACAAGAGTGATTGTGACCTCTTTGTATTAAAAGTAAATGGTCTTTGCTTTGTATTTTTTATATTTTAATAAGTAAAGTACACCTTAAAAATTCTTTGGGAAAATTTTGCTTTGATATTGTAAAACCCTCTAATTGATCATCTTGACCTCAAGACATATAAAAAAAATTCAACATCTAAAATTAGCGTATCTTGTGATATATTATATGAGGGATTGTCTTCAAAGAAACTATTTATCTTTTGTATATAGAGGTTACAATCATTTCCATTCGTTAGGTATAAACTTGAATGGCTTGGGGTGAGATACGAAGTCTGAGAATTTTTTTTTAGAATTTTGTGTCTATTCAATGATATTCTTACAACCGCTCATTTTGAATTTTCAGTGATAAGAATCATTGTCACCTCTTTGTACAAAAGATAAATGATTCTTTTATTCACAATCCTATAGGATTGTTTGTTTACATAAATTTAACTTGTTTATAAATATGCTTATTTGGAGGTATAATTTTCATAATTAAGAATGAAAATAGATTTTTAGGTTATGTTAAGGATTTCCGGTATCAAAACTATATCTTTAGGTAGGATTTGGAGGCGCGTCTCTATTGGAAGAATTTGGAGGTGTCTCTCTCTTTGTTCATTCAATATTGACGCCTTATATAAACGCTGTCCTAAATCTACTAGTCATACAAAATATCGGAAACATTAAGAGGAGTAACAAATTACAAGTGTGGTATTTGCACGGCCTGATGTAAACAAGAAAATGGGTGAATTGGTGAACACCTAATTGCCAAACTATTAGGAAAATTTTATACAAGGTGTCAACGTGTAGTATAGAAGTAAGATGCAATCTAAAAACCTCAACGAAAAAGACTGCTCTATCACCAATAAACCCTACAATCGATCATCTCAAACGCGGTATGAGTGTGAAAATGAAAAAGGATTTCAAGCTTTAGAAATATTGCATCTTGTGATGTTTATCTTAAAGAAAAAGTTGTTATAAGGGCGAAGCCATAAACAATCAAATTTAGGCGCACCTCAAAATTTCACTAAAAGAAGTTGTTTCGATGCTAAAAAATCTTCAAATTGATCATATTGACCTCAAGATGTATAGACATGAAAAAATGGATTTCAAGCCTTGGACATAGTGCATCTTATAATGCACTTTCGCACCGTCAATTTTAAAGTTTTTCAAGTGTTCACAAATCTACACTATCTTTGAAGCTTTAAAGTTTAAACTGTATAATTATCACAAGCAGCGAGTAGGTTGATGCTAGGGCCATGTGCATGTCAAGGACGCGCAATACGTGTGATGCTATGGTTGACGTCAGCAATCACGGTTCTTGACGTCAATTCGGGGGATGTTAGTGTTTTTATATTAATAAAATGGTACGGATGGTCGGATCCCTTTTTTTCGTTTGAACTAGAACGGCGTGGCTGATACCCGATTTGGATCACTCGATTCCGGATCGCATCGACGATTTTTAAACTATTGCTTTAAACTGTATAATTATCACAAATATTTCTAGTATTGAAATAACATCTTTTAACCCGATTTGAAAGTGTTCCTTCCTTTAATTATTTAGGCCTCGGCCTTATATAAATTACACCCTTATTGAATTGTTCATTTTTGAGATATTTAAGTGTTCATAAAAATACACAAGATCTATACTATGTTTGAAGCTTTAAAGTTTTATAATTAAATATGGAAATAAATTTCATACCATCAATCTAAGGGTGGCAATGGGCTCGGACCTATTCCGGGTCCGCTTATGGATCCAAAACTTGGACCCAAGGGGTCGGGTCTGGGTTCGATAATATTTTTGGATCCCAATATATGAAATATATTTAACCAATACATATATACTTTAATCTTTGGGTAGAGTTCAGGTCCCACAATATATTTTTGGGTTCAGTCCAGGTCCAGCGGGCTGGATTGGACCTGACCCGTTGCCGTCCCTACCGTTGTTTACTCAAACAACAACTCTTGGCATCATTAGAGGGGACTTTAATTGTTACCAAAGATATTCTACTCCCTCAAGAGTATACTGTTCATTTACTCCCTCAAGTAAAACCTCACTTAAAATTAGTTTTAGGACCCCAAATTTGGGAATATAACCAATGTTATTAAATTTGCTTCGCTAAGACTGAAGAGGCCGAAGCCTTCAAATGTTAAGCATAAACTGAAGCGAAGAGAAGTGTGGTGTGCTGCTCCGTGTTGCTGCAGTCTGCTTCGGGTATGCTTCGGTGAGAAAATAAATACCTATATAAAAGCATCTTTTTAATTTTTTTAATTTTTTCTATTATTTTATAGATTTTATATATAAATATTTAATTTATTTACATTAAATTTTTAAAAAAATTTGAGGCCTTCTCTGGATTGGGCGAAGCAACAAATTGCTTCATTTTTCTCATCAAACCAAAAAAGACTTCGAAACGATTCTGACAACATTGTATATAACCCTTTAATACATATATTAACAACAAATATTAAATATTTCTTAATTGTACCCTCTAAGCCGTCAAAAAAAATAATGTGTTAATATTGAATAAAAATCATCCCATTTTAGAGGGTAGATCTAACTGTTCGAAAACTCAAATTTCTTGTGATTACTAAAGTTTGATATCAAAACAAAATCCTCCTAGAGAAGCATCGTGTACATGCTCTTGATGCGTCCACATCAGTGTTTAAAAAAACGCCGAGTCGAATCGGACTCGCCCGGTTCGACTCGGGAATCGCCATGGACGGTTCGAATCGGTGAAAAAAACGAGAATCGTTCGGTTCTAGAGAGAACCGGACGATTCTGCACGTTGACCCGATTCACTGTACGGAATCGGCGAGTCCCGTACAGTGAATCGGCGAGTCCCGTACGGAATAACATAATATTTTTTTTTTTTTGTAATCCATGATAGAATTTTTTGTAATCCATGATCGAATTTTTTGTAATCCATGATCGAAATGTTTGTTTTTTTTTCTTGTAATCCATGATTGAATTTTTTTTTTTTTTTGTAACCCATGATAGAATTTTTTGTAATCCATAATTGAATGTTTT